GTCGGTTTGGCAGAACCCCTCGACGCCTGCCGGAGCAGTTACCACACAGCGTCGACCGAAAGCGGACATGCACCCAACATTCAAATTGAAATGTCAGTGTCATTTTCACTAGCGTGATATCGTCCACACCCTGTTTACACAGACAAATCACTCTGTTTACGTCTGTCGGCTAGAAGAACGAAATCGCGTCATTTTCATCGCTCAATTAGTTACAAATTTCGGATTCCACAAGCGGTGATAGTTTACAAAGAAACCGCACTGTTTGGCCGTAAAACTGCTGCCATACTCCCATTTAAACCTTTGTTCCTCACTATGGCATAATTTTGAATCTTCTTGTTACAAAATCTTAATTGTATTGAAGTTTGTTGGTGAAAAATTTTCGGTAGACCTTTGACTAAGCAGCAATCGGTGTTTTGCAAGGAATTTATAGAGTTTGTGGTTAGTCCAGGTGCTATATATCTTTCGCGACAGACAGCATACAGCACATTACAGCTCCTCCGATGTTTTCGGCTAGGCCGAGATACAGGTTCATAAATATAAGCAAGAGTTATAACTCTGAGTGACATCAATGTTAAATCGCTGGCTTTGCGTCACCACTTCGGCAAGAGTGCGCGGGGTGCTCACCATTGCAACACTTGGCCATAAAGTCATCGTAAAATATCAGCGATTGATGTAATGGGATAATTTATCGGCGACAAAGCCATACACCGTCTTGGCCATATCGCAAAAACTCTCACACTTTGAGACATCATCGACAAACATCGACCGTTTAATTACGGCATAACCCGGACCATTATGACCATTTTCCAACCTCAAATCGACTATAACTCCTCGGTCAAAGAGTAAAACGCACGTTTTCATCAGTGCGCAATTAGCTGTACGTGTTGCTGGAAATTCGGCGTCGCGACGCTTCCACACGCCGACCGCTAACAAGTACGACGACGCGTGCATACAAATCACGTTTTCCTCTCTGGAAAATGCGTAATTACATCATTTCACTTCAAACAGTCAAAACGGTTATTTTATTTGCCATGTTTCACATATCAATTATACCCGAATTTATTGAACCAGACGTACCATAACCGGTCGTAATTCCAACCACTACCACTACTATAATACTTGCCTTATTTCATCTCATTTGCCCTTTACTTGACAAATTAAGCTTCCATTTTAGACAACGTAATTAAAACCGAATACTTCACTAACGAGGCGAGGAAATGAAATATGATTTTATTTGTTAATCAGTATGCAATAAATAATGCATATTGTGGTATTTTTTCAATCACAGATCAAATTAACTTTACATAAATCTTGTTATGATAATTCTGCAGAATTCAAGTGAAAGTATTTGATATATGTCTCCATTACATGCAAACATAGAAACATACTTGAAATGTACAACGTTGCATTTTTTACATACATTAAAACATTAAAAAAATTGCAAGTAGAATTCTAGTCAAGACGATTAGATTGGAAATATTCAGTGGGCGTCAAAGGTCTGGAATAAAATTCATATTTTTTTGGCTAAATATTAATGAAAATTTTTTGGATACTGGGGTTTTTAATTGTACTCCATTTCCATTATAGTTTTTTTTTTTGACTTATTACAGAACTTAATATGACATTTTTTTTTAAATGGGACATGCTCATTATTTATTTGTTTTGTTGAATTTTTGTGTTAGTGGGGCTTGCAAAGCAGTTGGCTCGAATCATGTAATGACTTCTATAATTCATTTGAGGATTTTGCAGCAGCTTACCGTTTTTATTTGATCATTCTAAATTCGTGTGTAAATATTGAGCCGGTTGTTAGCTTTTTAATCTTCAAAGGGGTGTGAATGGCAATAAATCTCAGTAGGTAAAGAGAGGAAGTACATAAATTCGTAGGTACAAATTCCTCCAATTCTAAAGAACCGTAAAAGGTAATGACATTTGGGCATTTCTTTAGACTTCCGGAGCTGGCCGTCATGGCACAATAATTTCAATAGGCATTCAAAGTCATCCGATTTTCGCTAAATTTTGGCGAAATTTTCCGAACGGTTTGTAAGAAAGGGTCAGAGGGGCGATTAAAAAGTGTAATTGGGGTGTACGAGGATTTATCCATGTTTTATTGTTGACAAATTGTTAGCTTTGTAGAACATGAAATACATCCGTCTAAATAGTGGTGTTTATAACGGTTACGCCTGAATTATCGGTCAAATACGAGTCTCGTAATAGGATTAATCTCGGTGGAATGACACTGTTGGTTCGGGTCGAGGGGAAGTTACCCTGTCGAGGACTCACCGTACCTTCTCCCTTTTCAATGACTCGGTGGCACACTTAAAATGAGCATTGCAAACGGCTATTTAGTGCAGTGGACCGTAAAGCAGGTGTCCAGAAGTCACTTATGTGTGCCTGCTTGACAAATAGCACCCTAATTGATTTTTTCGTGAGCTTATTTATCGTGTATTATCTTTTTCTAAATTGATCGATTTATACCACAGATTTTGTATTAGGAATTGTTCATGCACACAACCTGCTAACTGCACCAATTTTTTCGATTAAATTAGTTTTTGGTACAGCTAGAGAGATACATATTATATTACCTCTCCAGCTGCGAATCGGAAATGGTGTCCCCTTCAAGATTACCCTATGCCCCGTGAGAAATCAATTTACATTTTATTGTTATTATATTTACTGCAAACATGGCTTTTTATGTAACTTTGTATGTGTTCATATTTCAAAATTTGTCGCTGTAACAGAATTACTCGACAGTAAAATTTTTATACCTCTTCACATTTTTTCCGTGATTGCCAAGACTTGCGAAGAAATTGATCAAATTATTGCTAGATGATGTGTGAGATTTGTTTGGTGCATGCAGTAGAAGTTTCTTGCAATTACAAATGAACGTTTCATTTGAATATAAATTGTATTCAAACGTTGCTTTCGGAGTTTGGAATTGTATTGTGTGTAAATTGTGACTATTAATAACAGCCAACGGGGTATCAATATGTCCAATCGAATAAGTACACATCTACATAATTCATGTATTTAAATATTGGACTGGTCTGCTTATTACCTTATCATCCAGTCATCGCTTCTGCAATGGGACTTTGCCCATGCTTGGCTCCCGAAGTCCACATCTGCCGACTGTCAACTCCGTCAAAGCTCTACCTCGGCTTCGACGATTTATTCCTATCGTTCATTTGACTTGCGGCTTTTTGACTTTCACTACATGTCAACATTGACATATGTTTGACTTTTTTTTCATTTGCGACTACCGTGCATCTCATAAAACCAATTCTCTACTCGATATTTTACGACGGCAATCTCAAACCCTCGGTCGAGGGACGACGACACATCAAACGGCGCACGACCTCGCAAATAAAGCCGAATTTTTAAACAAATTCAAATATCATCATTAAAAGTTAAAAAATTGTTATTTTGTATTTGTCATTTTTTTACGAAAAAAAAAAACACTACACTCGAGAAGTAGACATTTCATTTAATTTAAGTAAAATATGAAAAATCACTAATGGAACTAGCTATATTTGGTTACACAAACAAAACAATATTTATTTAGCTACTGACACTTATTATTTGACCCAACGAAGCATTAAGTTTTAAGTCAATTTGTTGTGTTGAATATAAGTTGCCATTAATCTTCTGTTATTACTTTGTGTTAATTGACAATTACTTGTTAAACTGCAAATGAGATTGTGCGGATAACTTTTTCATAAATTAATTATGATTTAATATTTACTAATTGCTACTGTCACGGTAGTACAAAGACGAATTATTGAGCGGAAGTTATTATGGAAGAAAATGGTTTTATTATGGGAAACTCTTCGGAGAATATTGGTAATTGGTGCAATCGGTAGGCAAAAGAATTAATTTTGTCAATTTTTGTATTTTAAACCAGTGAATAAGAAGTGTTAATGTTTCAAAAGGCGAATAATTTATATCCTTCTACATCAGCGACCGGTGTTCACGTGTAGCAACAAGCGGCAGCGTGTATCCCGCATTCTGTAGACCGAAAAGCTGCAGACAACTTATTTATGTCTGAATTGTTTTCAAAATGCCGACATTTTCCCACTACTGTTTGTAGAACGGGCTCATCGCTGTAGGAAATTAAAAAAGTCAAACGATTTCACGGAATCTTTAGCTCGGGTCACGAACTTGGTGGTTGATGTTTTAAGTGGTTTCAAAGGGTGGAGGAGAGACACCGTTCTGGATTTCCTGCTTTACATACAAGAGGAAGCTTTTGGTTGAGACCTATGTGCGGTATGCGGCGGTCTAATTGATTTATGGGAAAGAATAGTGTGATTTGTCGATGGCGTATATACAGGTGCGCGACAACTCGCGCCCCAGAGAAAATTTTGAAATAAGGTAAGATACCAGAAACACGAAAAAAATGTTTAAAAAATTCTGACAAAAAAATTTTGACATTTATTTTTTGTCATTTGACATTTTTTATGTCTATTTAAGGATATTGATGATCTTCTATATGTTTTTTTTACAATTATTTAGTGAAGGGAAAAAAATTTGCCAATAAAAGCCACAAATAACATTGAACAGAGTTACAATTTAGGATACAGCTTCCTTGTTTCCTCTTTTAATAGCGTATAGCAAAAAAACTTGGAAAATTATTTTTCCAACAGAAATAAATAGAGTCAAAATGCAAACTTTAAACCCTCATAACTTCCAAATTTTTATACATAGCATAACATTTTTTCCATGTTCCTGGTATCTTACCTTAAATGGCATTTTTCTCTGGGGCGCGAGTTCTGTCGCACCCTGTATTCTCCAGTATGTTGACTCACGTATAGAGTTTTTAAACTGGGCAAAAATGATTGATAAATTTGAACACGTTGGTTGGCGTGTTTTTTGAAAAGTTGTATTTGAGAATTTTGGTCTTTTTTTGGGCCGTGTTGTTAGTGCGGTTGTTTTGGACGATTTTTAATATCGCTGCGAGTGGCATAGCGCGTCGTTAAATTGCATGTTGATGTGTTCCTTTGTTGCAGTAGGACCTTTGTTTGGGGGTGGATTCACCGGGAGCAGCGCTTACGCGTTCTCTGTGCCGGGTCTTCCTCCCGCCGCCCACGCTCTCGCCAAGACCAGCTTTCTCTTCGACCACGGTAATTATGCCATTATTACTCTCATTGTCGTCAATCAGACGGATCCTCCCCTAGCACGCTTTTATGTTTTTATTTTCGCGGAGTTACGATAACAGTAAATGTCCATCTGTTTCGACGTAACCCTCGAAAAGTACGATCTGACAAGACTCGGAACGAGCTCACCGTCTCTTCTTTTTATGGTCAAAAATCTCCTCTTAGATCTCTGATGAAATTAAATGCCGAGTTTTAATGTTCATCGGGTGGAAAAAGTTCATATCGTCTCCCTGCCGTGTGGCGCTCGCTCTGTCCTCCGCCCAAAGAAGGGAATTTAATTAAGTAAAATTACACTGCTTGTACTTTAATTATGTTAGTATCAGAGTTTTTACGGTGGCTGTCCCCTTGACGTTTACACCATTGGCTTGAGAGCAGATCGACGCGGCTCACCGATCAAAAGGTGACGCTCTCAAAGGAAGCATCTCTGATTCACACTTCTGCACGCCAAAATTCAACCCCACCTTGGCACTTTTAAAATATATATCACCAACAATTGCAAAAACTTGAAAGAAAGATAACGCGAAAGGGTGAAAACCGGCTAATGGAATACCTGTCCGCTGGATTAACGCTCACCGTCCCAACAGCTCGCTACTTGCCGCGTAAAATATGGTAATTGCCAAGGCATTGCCGCGTTAACATGCCTATTACGCCTCCAAAGATACGCGCGATGTCTTTACCAATCTGCTTCCGGAAGCGACCATCTTGGACACTCCGCCTATATTCTACCACCACCACATTCACTCTCACACATTTTATTCACCCAAAGAAGGTCTGAAGCACTGAAACACTCTGTATAATAAAAAAATTTAATTTTAAAAAATCATGGGGTGTAAATCGGATCCAAACGTGTAAGAAGTGGTTTCGTGTGCAAGACATGGTAGCGACATATCGTCCAATCACATTAAATTTATAGGTAGTCAGCGGTAAGCCGTTCAGCGTTGAGCGTAGCACCGCAAATACCTGGTTTTATTTTGAAATGTGGCCTTTCCTATTGTCGCGTCTGAGACAATAAATACTTAGGTAATTGTAGGGACCGAGCTGCGATTTGTGACAATGGATAAAGTGGTGGAAATGCGTGGAATGTGATCTCGCTAAATGCCGCCATAAAAACTAAACGCGTGTATGAGTGTCTGAACTCGGCCCGTCTGATCCTCCCTTCCTGACAACTCAACTGTGAACGGGTCATTCTGATTTTGTTCAAATCAAATCAGCAAATGCATTAGTGGAAGTCGGACGTAATCGGTCTCTAGTCAATCACTTTGTACTCTTGTAACTTTGCGTTGTTTTGTGAAATTACAAAACAGTGAACCATACTATCTAATAATAATAATCACAGGATTCTCGAATGAGCGTAGATAGTAGGTAAAGTGACACATTGACAGAAATGCGTAACTTTTGACGGGTTGTTTGGGTAGGGTCGTGAGAGAGGTAACCATAAATAATTTGGTAACAAATAGGTCGAGTTAATTTACATGTTTTAAATAATACGGCACAAAAAAGGTAATACATCTTAAAGGACGTTGTAATAAGGCGCTCAATACCCTATTATGTCATAATGGTTTCGGAAACTACCCTCCTGGCATCCCTATTATCCCGGGTACATAAGATATGCAAAGAAGTGTTTGTTTATATCGTATCTTCTTAGCAGCATGTGTAGCCATATGTCAGAGCCCTAGTGTTATCGGAGCACTTTGCAGCAAATTGCCACGATCTACAGCAATCTACAAGAGGGAAACAGTTAGATGCCTCCACAGCACAGTCCAAGAGAGATGGTAAAAACATCGTCAACCGCGAACTAACCTGGAAATTGCTTTTCGCGAAATACGTTTCGAGCTTAGAGCAGTTCAAGGGTTACTCCGGTACCTATTCTTTAATATAATCTGGATGATAGTATGCTTCAGGGTAATAACATTTCAAACTAAACAAGATTTTTCTTATTATCCTCAAAAAAAAGTATATTGTGACAGGAATTAGTTCCATCATCCAAGTTATTAGATGAATAGGGGAGGCATTCGGACAGGGGCTCTGTATGCAGTTTGTGACAGTAGAGTGAGACCCTGCATGGTAGTGTCAGTGTAGTTTTATGTGTCATTCGTGTATATAATTCGAGTTTCGATGTAATGTATGAGTCACCCTTTGAAAATATAAGGATGTTTGCTAAAATGGCGGTATGGAGTTCGCTTGTGTTTCGGTACAATTTAGCGTAAAAGTTGAACGGGCGTCTTTGGAGTCGGACGTCCCGACGGCGGCGTCGCTTCCACATTCGACCGTCTTGTGAAGCTCCGCCTTGCGCCGCCTTCGCAGCTAGGCTAACAAGTATATCTAAGCGGGCATACCCGACATATTACATACATTGTAGCACCAAGTCCGATACTTCCAATCCAGATAACATTTTAAAATATCGCCGCATTCTTTCGACCCTCTTTGTACTTTTAAATTTAAACTATCTCGCTTGGTTCGAACTCTCTGAAAATCTAAATAGGGTTCACGTAGGGATCTCTCCTTTGTTTCCCAGGGAATCTGATAAATTGCGACCAATAAATCTCAATATTTGCAACACAAACTTGAACATATGCTCTACTTCACACTTCAAACTTATTTATCGGACGAACTTTTCTTAATTAAATTACTTCACACAAACTGGACTGATTACGCAATAAACGACGCAAATTAAAGCAATATAAATGACTAAATAGGATCAAGGGAGATACAAACGCACCTTCACAAGCAATAAGAAAGAAGTCACAAAGTATAAAAATAAATGAAAAGTTTGCTCATTCAGATACTGATTAAATTAAACTGAGGGGACTGACTTCTTGTCACTCTACCGTTTAAAAACGTGTAAAGATTTCCCAGCAAGAATTATTTCATGGGGGGATTTCGAAAGCAACCAAATATTAAACACCTTATTTCGACTCGTTTTTTAAATTATTTTGTAGCAAATTATCAATTTTTGAAATAGTAGGTAGGTATAAATAACACTTCTCAATCGACCTCATACTTGTCCTGGAAAAATGTATTTATTTGTTACTCAAACATCGGTAGGTATGTATCTTGATTATGACGAAATTAAAAATATTTATTAAAAGGTTTTGTGCTTATTTCATGGTAAAAAATCAGCTTTATGATTTTTTTTTAATTAAAATTAATTTTATAACTTTAGAAGAAGTAATAAATTAACTCAATTATGTTCTGTATTATCAAACTTTTGTTTAGTATTTGTAGAGTTGTCAAAATTGTTAAACAACACAAATTGTAAAAAAATAACTATGTATAGGTACTTTTATTAAAAAAAAATACTTAGGTACCAATCGTAAACACAACTGAAATAGGTATAGTTTACACATACATATACAATTTAATATGTTATCAAACAATATTCCAAAATATTTTAAGAATGTAGTTTATCACGAATTAAAAAATTAAGTAGATTACAATTTAACATTATTTGTGACAAAATCTTATGGACGTGTTATAACGATTAAGAAAAACAAATCAGGACTTATTATGTTCTAGAACACAAACCTATTATAGTGACATTTTTTCAAGTATATGATCGAACGCCAATTTTTCGAAAACTGATTGTTCGAAAAGTCATTTATGTAGGCAATAGGCAAATAACATTTAACAAAAACAAGTTTGTTTTAGAGCTTTTAGAGAAAATTCTTCGTAGGCGCAATCAACAAATACTTGTCAATTCTTGCATAATTATCAAAAATTAAAGAAAATACATAGGCTTTGTTGAGAAAAATTAACATTTAAAATTAAAGATCTTTTAACTTTATGAGATGCAAAAATAAAAATAGGTTGTTCCATTTAAATTTTTTATATTATTTAACTTTAAGGAACTTCGACATTTTTTTTAACTTTTCGACTGCAATACATTAAAAAAAAATGTTATAGTCTCAAAGTTCGTACTTTACAGTGGTAATTTTTTTTTCCAGCTGTCTTAAATGTTGTATAATAAATTTTTAAAAAGAAAATGTTTTTGCGAGAAAAAACAACTTAATTCAAAAACCAAGCAAGGTCGACTAATAGAAGTTTAGCTTATAAACATTGAAATTAAAAGCTATACATTCAAAAATGCCAAGAAACATATGGTGTTTCATTTAAAAAAACATAAGTTTGTATTGTAACTTAATTTTAGGCCATCCAGTATAAACATAAATATTTTCCTGAAATGCGCTCTAGAGTATAAATAAAGTCTACAAAATATCAAAATTTCCATTTAAATAATAATAATAATAATAATAATAATAATAATAATAAACTGAGCTACCAGAAGACCGGAGCTGAGATGAACGTTCTCATTTTTGTATAAATTTATATATTTTTTTTTAACTTTATAATTAATTTAACAATTGACTAGTATTAAAAGTATAATATAAATTTTATTTCAGCAATTTTAACACCCAACAAATAAATATTTTTGTTTTAATCATCCCTACTTTCTTCTGAATTGCGCCTACAAAGAAATTTTTCTAACAAGCTCTAAAACATACTTGTTTTTGTTAAATGTTACTTGCCTACATAAATGGCTTTTTGAAAAATTGGCGTTCGATTAATATGCTGTTCGAACAACTGGATTTTCAAACAATTTATTTTCGAACAACTGGCTTCGAACAATTGGCTTTCGAACAATTGCTTTCAAACAATTGACCGTACACCGTTAAAAAAGTTGATTGAAGTCAAAATCTTAGGTCCGTATTAAATCTTAGGTCACATTTTTTATGTTTATTTTCCAAACTAAAGAATTTTATTTGTAACAAAGACCGCCATGGAAAAACAAAATTGTTTTCATCACAATATTAATCAATGAAACGACTTAAATAGTCTAAAACTATTTTAAACTGTTTTTTAAATAAGGGGTTTTTTTACATTTGGCGTCAAAGCTATCCATGTAAGTTTGATTGTGAACGAATCATCGTATTAACATTTAACACCATGCCGAGCGTATTAAAAATTGT